CGATATGCCGGGCCACTTCTGGTCGCGTTATCAACCAACATTTGGGTCACGTCTGCAAAATTATTCGGTTAAGCGACCACGGAATGAGTGCGGTAAAAAGCTAATGAGATTACCAATTCTGGCAAAAGGCGGCGTTCTCGGCTCTGATGGTACGCCATTATCTTCAGCAATCCTTTTAGCCAAAATTTTTCTGGTTGTCGAAGTTGGACGCGGTGTTCCGCCGTTCTTCAGATGATCGAAAGCATAGCGCGTTAGGGGCCCAGCTGGAGCCGCATTCAGTGTGGTGTCATTTGTCGCTTGCTCATTACCTCTTTTCACCTTAATTCACCTCCATTTTATTTATTTATAAATTTACAATTTTTTTATAAATCTTCAAATTTATAAATCATAAATCACAAATATTCAAATAAATCATTTAAAACAAACCATTTCAAGCGTATTCTGCGACTGCTGAGCGAGTGAAGCATTCTGAGATGCGTTCGAAGTGCCTGAGGCATTTCGAGGTGTCTTCGAAGTAAAAAGAACATTCGAGGAATTTTGAGGCATCACCGAAGTGCTTGAGACACTGCACAATGTCTTTGGCGTACGTGAGGTACTGACAGACGTTTTTGTATTACCTGAGGCATTTCGAGGTTTTATCTGAGCACCTAGAGTACTGCGAAGCGTTTTTGAATTAGCTGAGGCACTTCGAGGCGTTTTCCGTGTGTGTGAAGTGCTACGGGGAGTTTTAGGAATGCACGAAACGCTGCACGGCCTTATGGGAGTACAAGCATTCAGAGGAAGCCATAAAGTGTTTGTAATTCTTTTAGTTCTCTGCTTTGCGCTATCCCGCGAACGTTTTGATCCTGGCGTCAAATCTCTGTCGTATACAGTGCTCTGCTGAAAAAGTCATAAATATTTTTGACGTAAATCGGCCATTGTTGAACGTGAATTCAATAGAAAAGTGTACATTTGCTGAAGAGGAAGAAGAACTGTACTGCGAAATTGCTCTGAGCGCACTGGACGGTGGCGTGAGATCTTCCACAGTTGCATGTTCCACTGCAGCCAAAACATTTCGTTTTGGAGTTTTAAAAGAGACGGCAGTCCGGTTAGATGCAAACTTCGGAGAAGCTTGAGCCCTATAGAAGGACACCAACTGCTGCAGCAAATTACTTCGCGGAATACGCGAGGTGTGTGGGCTTCCTGCTACAAGCTGTTGTTGTTGTTCCTGCAACAGATTTCGTGAAATTAAGGATTGAAGAAATCACACGAAAACAATAAAATTCTCGGCGAGAACGAAGCTCTCCGAAACTTCCTCTGGACTTTCTGCCAATGAACTGATAACGTCAATTCACTGTTTTTTTTTTTCAAATTATCAAATCATCCTAAATTAAACGCCTAAACAACTAGTTATAAATTTCCCTCTGCACACTAGTTCACGCTGCCAGCGCCCTTACTTACATGCATGACCGATTTAAAAAAAAAAACCTCTGAATTCTCAGCAGTGGAAGCCCCGTCCTGGCCAATAAGTTTTGATCCTTTTTTGGCTACATCCGTCGCAACAGTGACATGTGATCCCTCGTTACCACAGTTCTCATTGACTGCGCTTGTCAAATTCATTGCAACATCCTAAAACACGTACAGTTCGCAGTAAAGAAGCGCCTTCAATGAGCTGTATTTAAGTCAGAGAAGCTTACAGCACAAGAAGCTGCCGTCTGCTGCGAATTCTCACCAGCAACTTCCGTCAGCTTCTCGCATCGTTCGTTCATGACTTCACGGAGATAAGCAGCTGAAAAGCAATTTCGGCCCAATCAGCACCAGGACACCAACACCACATTAAACGTTCTAATTCCAGCTTTTTTTTTTGCAGCAAGTCTGTCGGTAGCCAATCCCTCGCTCTACGACTCTCACATTCACTCCGATGGTAAAATTGGTATTGGC